ATCACGGCGGAGGGCTGTGTCGGCGAGGATCTGGATACCGGCGGTGGCCTCGGTGGCCGAAATATTCTGCATGTCTGAGTCCGTGATGAGGCGGGGCACGGCGCTGAAAGTAGAATTCGTAGCACGAGGAGCGATCTGTGCTTTTCTTTCAATACAACCAGGAGAAGGCGCGAGGGGAGTACAGTGCCTGGTAGGGGAAGGTGCGGCTGGTGTGCGATCGGGGCACTGGGAAAGCGTTAACAAGAGAGCACGAGGTGTGCCCGGAGTTGCGTTGGGCGCGCGTGGGTGCAAAGAGGAGGGGAACGGCGGGGATGATTGCGAGGGGATGGGTGGGAAGGCGGCCGGAGAGGACGGCGAGGGGGGCAAGGGAGCCGCCGTTGGGGAGCTGGTGTGGATTTGAAGGGTCAGCGATGTGCATTTTTGACTGTATAGTGAGATGACGCAATGGGTCTACGTGTCAACATGGAGGTATTGCGCAAATACAGTGCGTTTTTTGAAAAGTCCGCCCAAATGAGCGTGGTTGTCTTTTTATTGTACAAAAGCGTTACTGTCGAGAAAGGATCTTTGATGTACCTCCATAGCCCCCCAATTTGGTCCCCTTTTCAGGAAAATGACTGTAAATGCATCAAAATAGCTTCCAAAACTCTGCAAATATGTCTCATGATAGACCTGAATGAGAGCGTTCAAACAAACCTACATTGGCCATGGTTGGAGACCTTTTGCGACGTACCATCGGGCTGTTCGAGCCTGTTTGGCCCAGAGGCCGGTTCGGGATAACTCCCCAATTTGGTCCCGCGATTTTATGCAAATTTTTTAGCTATTAAAAAGGGCCGCAAGTGTGTTCGCTGCGTTGTGTGCTGCCGCAGCTTCAACGCCTGTGGGCGCAGACAGAAAGCCAACAGACGCTGTTCGTCCGGCCGCTTTCGCTGACTGATTGCGCGTGCCCTTCGACGCGGATAACTAGTCCCAGTAGACCGCGACACACCGGTTCTCGATAGGGAAAAAGCTTTCGTAGCCCCACTGGCAACGAGCTGGACAAATTCCTCTCGAGCCGCCTTTATGCCTTCATCGCGAACATCTCTCTCTTTCGATGCCCTGGTCTCCGCCCTCATCGATCCGCGCATTTCTCTAAAGCGACTGTGAGGAGCTCTAAGGCCTTGGAGCTCTCCAAGGCCTTAGAGCTCATCATAGTCCCTCAAAGAAAATTTTGTTACGCTGAGTTGGGGTCTTCTCCGAAAACGCGCCCTTTTCCGGTGCTCAAAATGCATGTTTCCGCGGGAGAAGCCGGCATTGGCTCAATGCGTTGGAAAGCTCTAGTCCTCACCTTTAATATAGTGTGGTTTGCGTCACCTGTAGAAGGCGCACACGCGACATAAAAGCCTTTGAAGGAATATGGGACCAAATTGGGGGGGGGGCCCAAATTAGGGGGCTATGGAGGTACGAAATCTCGTCAAAAATCGTGCTTTGATTAGTTCCACAGATAGTATATTGTCATTTCTATATTACTTGGTCCGTTCTATTTTTAGGCCTGTTATTTTGCAATTATCAGAATATATGCTCAGCAATCGCGGATGTGCGTGGGAGGTCTATTAAGGATAGGATAGAGGAGAGCGAAAGTAAAGAAAAGGGCATCTCGAGTCGCCACAGTTTGGATGACGAGCGGAATTACCTTTACAAATTGTACAGCAATCCAGTAGCACTCGTCCAAGTGGCGCTGTTTCGTACAGAGCCATAAGATAGGATATGCCCTTATGATACCCTGTGATAAAGGTAAAGAAGAAGGGCACGGTACACACGTGGACAACGTTAGGATATGCCTCTACGATACCCTGTGATGGAAAGATGATTAAAAAAACACTGTACACACGTGGACAGAGTTATCAACAAAACGGACCTCAACTCGTTGTATTCGACAAGGTTTGGTGCCAAACCCTGAGCGGCGCGAAAGATGGGCAAGTCTGACATCAGACATGCCCATGCAGCACCCTTGCATTTCCTGGCTCATGTGGAGGCACACCATTGGTCGTGTGCACACTCAACGTTCTGGCCCGTCCAGTTGCTCCGAATCCCTCCTTTGTCCCATCTGCATTCCCGTCTTCCCCTCCTCCGCTACAAACTACCTATGCTGACTTCCAGCCTCCGACCTCTCCTCATCGCCCCCGGCCCCTCACCTTCACGCACACCAACCATGCCTCCATTGCCCCCCTCTCTCGACACCCTAGCCCCCGACCTCGCGCACCTAATCCTCTCGCACCTCAGCCCGCGCGAACTCTCCACCAGTGCCTGCGTCTCGCGCTCATGGCGCCGCCTCGCCCTTGACGACCATCTCTGGCGCCGCTTCATCCGCGCGCCCGCCGGCCTTGCCCGCGCGCACTACGTTCGTGACACGGCCTGGCGCACCGCGCGCGCCTACCACACAGTCTCCAAGCCGCTCGCGGCGCCCCCCTCCGCCGTCCAGCTTCTGCCCGACAAAAGCCTTCTCGTCGCCAGCGTCGCGTCCGCACCCTCAACTCCCCTCGCGTCTGCGTATCGCACAGGGGAAGTCGTCATGGTCCGCCCGGCCGCTCTGGAGGGCGCGGACCCCTGCTGTGTGCGCACGCGCTTCTGCAGCGAGAGTGGCGTCGCGTACGTCGCCTTCGGCTATCGCAAGGGCTTTGTGTGTCTGTACGCCGTCTCAGTAGACGACGAGACGCAAGCGACGCCGACAAAGATTCTCACCGCCCGCACGCGCAACGCGGAGCCCGTGACGTGCGTCGACATGCTCATGAGCAAAGACGGCGTGGGCGTGATCTGCGGCACGGCGCGCGGCGGACTGGGCGTGAGCTGCGTGACTCGGGCGGGCGGGGACGCAGATGCGGTAACGCCAATAGCATGCGCGGCGATGTCGGAGTACGGGCTGCGGTCTATCGCGCTGGGGGGCGGTGTCGGCGACGTAGCGGTCGTCGGCACGGACGGGGGTGAAGTGATGACGTACGACGTGGAGCGCGGAAGACGGATTCGGTGCTACGTCGGGCCGTGCTGGTGCGCCGTGAGCGGGGTGGAGCAGGTCGGAAGGTGCGGGATGGTGGTCGGGGGATACGCGCACCGCGTGGCGGGCAACGGGCACGGGTCGGCGGTGGTGGCTTGGGACGGCGGCAGCGGGACGCGCGTGGCGGCGTTTGGGCGGACGGAGGAGGTGCGGTGGTCGGGCGCGGTGCCGACAGCGGCGGTGGGGGGGCTGAGGGCGACGGCGGGGAGAGTGGCGGTTGCGGCGGGCGGGGTGGCGAGGGTGTATGAAGTGGGGAGGTGGGATTGCGTGGTGGAGGCCGGGTTTGCGGAGGCGGGGGTAGATTTGGATGAGGGGAGGCTGGCTGTGGCGGGGAGATTGGGCGTGCATGTGTTGGACTTTGAAAGAGGCGGGAGGACGGAGAGTGATGGGGTGGAGTGGTTTAAACCCAGTGTGCGAGAATGGGCGGGCCGAAGACATGCAATGGCGAGATCGGTATGAGCGGTGGGGGTACTAGTGTAACATGTGTATAGTAGTTGTGGGATTTGGGACTGGGTTGAACTTTACTGTAAGGATACGGGGGTTCTGTGGACTGTAGTGTAATAGATTGGAAGACAGGTGCAACAGTACCCTGGTACAGTACTGTATATTTTGCAGAGGGGCGAGTGGAGCCATTGATCAGAGGGTTGCTATGGACAAGTGGACGTAGAGGCTTCCGGGCACATGTGTGGGGACCAATGATGGTGAAGAATCGGAGGGGGAGGCGTGGCGGCGGTTCGGGGAGTCGAGTCCAGGATTACACCCTGTTGGTGGACGACGGGAGCGCAGGGAGTGGGCCCCACTGCAGGGTTTGCAACGGTGAAGTCCAGATATGTGCGTCAAAGGGCGCCGTGCAGAGAGGAGGCGCACATTGTGGAAGGAGGGCGAAGGCCCGAACGGGGCTTGCAACGGGAGCACGTTGGCTCGGACCACTTCGGCAACGGACTCGCAAGTCGAGAACTCGTCCATTCGTTTCTGCCAAATAACGCCCGACCAAACACACGCTTTCGCGCCCCAAGACCCATAAACAAGAGGCAGGCAATCCCGTGTCTTTATCACCGACGGTCACCAGCGACCTTGTCACAACACAAAATAAAAATAAAAAAACTATTTCCACTCGCGCACATAGTCGGACGACTGCGACTGTCCCAAAATATCACCCCGCACTATGTACAAACAACAACACTGTGCAAAAGTAGGGCTTCCATAAGGGCATCCAAAAGAAAAGAAAAAAACATTAATGAGTTGTGCCTCAAAACATCTAACTCTTTGTCAGGAGGACGCTGTCATGATTTTTGCCCTTTGATTCATTCTCGCCAGCTGAGTCGTCCCACCAGACTCCAACTTTCGTTTCCGCCCCTGGCCAACGCCTTCCCCTTCTGACCAAACACTCCGACTCCCTCCGCTTGATCCCCCGCTGGTCGACGTTGTCACAGTAGCAGCGCTGGTCTCTTCCTCTTTTGCCTTCTTGTCCTCAGTGGCTCCACTGCCAGCCAATTCCTTGCGCGCCTGTTCCCCAAGCTCCGAGATCTGCCTCCGGATCGTAGTGTTAAATCGATTTTTTGTTGCGTTGTCCGTGCGTCCTTTGAGCAGCTTGGCGATCTCGCTCCATCGATTCCCCAGCCGTGCATGAGCTTCCATTACGATTTGGTCTTCCTCGGCAGTCCACCCACGTTTGGTCAGATCGGGCGACAGTTGGTTGAGCCATCGCTCCCGCGCTTGCTTCCCAGTTCGCCCGACGATGTGGCTTGCGATTACCGTCCATCGTCGAGCTCCCATTTTGCCAACGAGATCGGTCAGGATTCGATCCTCCTCCGGTCTCCACGGGCCCTTGACCTTGCGAACGGCAGTAGCCAGCCCATTGGCGCCAGCCCCGCGAGGTGCAGCGCTTCCGGGAGCCGTGGCCGCTGCCGCAGCGGCGGCTGTAGTGGTGTAGAATTGCATGGGTATCTGGGCGGATTCTGGAGGGAACGAATGCATGTTCACCATGTGAGGATGGATAGGGTGCTGTGCAGATGCCGGCGCTGGTCCAGTGGGATACTGCATGGATGCAAAAGGAATGATAGTGTGCGGGGGCAGTAGATGCGGAGGGGTAGCATAGTGAGGGGGTGGGGGTGGGCCAGCGACGTACATGGGGAACGGAGATGGGGTCGAGGAAGGGTGTCCTGAGAGGTTAAGACGAAGGGGATGGTGCTGTGGTTGGGAGAGGGCGGGGGAGAAGTGATGCGGGTGGGTCGGGGGTGCAGAGGGCGTTTGCGGTTGAAGATGATGCGGAGTCGGGTGATGTGGTTGCAGATGATGCTGTGGGTGGGGATACGACATGGAGGGACGGGTTCCTTCGGCGGCTAGACAGAGAAGATGAAGGGCGGCTTCCTTGGGGGTATCTCGAAGCGCTGGGGTAACGGGGGAGCCGAGGTGCTGTGGTTGCTGTCTTGCGGCGGCGCAGTGCGGCGG